ACAGACAGCACATAAGCCAGATCCCTCCCTCTGGTCTTAAATCATATGTGAGGGATCTGAGGTGGCCAGCCACTGGAGAAGGGAAAGGTTGATATATTCACCCACAGTGCAAGCTGCAATGGAGACAGGAGCAAATTGACCAAGGACCTAGGCAACCAGTCCAATTCTACTTGTGTGGCCACGACCATAGAATGATGCCATTATTGTAAATACACACCTTCCTCTGCTCCCAGTCATATTGACATCCCACCACCACTGGGGTCTCTGTCTACAAGGGGGGATAGGGAGCAGAGCCAGCTTTTGTGCTGTTAACTTGGAGGCAGGACACGATGTTAATGCTGAAGGTGGGGGCTCCGGGTGGTGATCTCCTAATTGATTCCCACCCAAGGCTGGCCAGATCTTGGGTGAAGACCAATCAAGAGGGTCTTTCCTACCTGGCTGTGGACATCATCCACATGTCAACCCTGATTCAGGGCTTGGGGTTTAAACCCCAGCACTTCATTTGGTCCTTTGGCACATGGATCAACCACAACCCTCACACTATGACCAGGTGCAAAACCATCACTCTCCACCTCACATTTCCAGGACACAGGGACACACTTACTTGACTGAGGTCTACAACTGGTTCCATTTACTCAGCACAGTTCAACATGCCTGTCAGAGCCACTCTTGCAGTCCAGATCCTCATCACACTGCTATCTGCTAGGCACACACTGCCCACTGATGTACACAAAGTCAGATTCAGCACACGTCTTCCTCACACAGGTACTTTTGGTACTGTTATCACCATCATATCTCCATTGTAAGGGAGATATGTCCATTATTACACCCTCAAAGCCTGACAGCCAGTAGCCAATGAAGGATGCTTAGGGAAAATTGGAGTCAGCACTGTACATATGATATGTCTACTACTCTCCCAACAACCAATTAGTTTCAAAATACAAGAGAAGCCTTGAGCAGAACCAAGAGGCAATGGCAAGGACCTAATGACCCTCACAACATTTACTTTTCTGTAACCACCCTCTCTCCCTTTGAATTTATGTCTACAAAATTTATTTGTGAGGATTTCTCAAGTCTCTCACCTGCTGTGTGAAAAGCCAACTCCTTTGCTCTGAACACCCCTTCCACTATCTCAGTCTGGTGCTCCCTAGTACTTGTAATGGAAGAGGTGGTGAGAAGCTGATCCCTAGCAACACTTCCCATGCCACTTACAGTTCTCTTTTGTGTTATCTTTTTTCCACACTAGCCAGCCCTAGTCTCTCTTGTTATTGCTCATCTTTGTAGTCTCACACATAATCATACTTTCTCATATGCTCTTTTACTCACCTGGGATTTTTTTTTTTCCCTTTGGCTTGGGACTTTCTGAGGAGGTCTTTACAGTTTAAAGAGCCATCAATATGGTTTTTTTTTCCCTCTTGACCAAGCCACAATTTAAATCTATGTGAACTTCTGTCCCCGTAATTCTACTATTAATGAGGTGAAACATTACCTCTGGTAATTTGTATTGTACTTGCTAGTTTTCAATATCCTCCTGTGCTATTAAAAGTATTACAATAGTTGTTTCATATATCAATCTTACTCATTATTTTGAGCACAAGGAGGCAACCTAGCATTAGTCAGCCTACGTATCCTTTTTGATACATTCACTCTCTGTCTTTTAGCAATTCCCTCAGATTACAGAATCATCTATATTGCAATTTAATAGTGGCACAAGGATGGAGCTGTCTGTGACCTGAAGATACTTCTTCCTGTACTGATGCTTCTTTCCTCTCAAATGCTGGGAATGCATGAGTTATAGATCAAATACGTTTTTCCCACAGTCTACTGACATCTTTTTGCCTCCTTTGTTTGTTAGAATTCCTAGATGTTTCCCTCCTGGTGTGATTAAAAACTATGTGCCTATAAATAAGACATACATCATTTGAGAGTTGCATTTTTTGCTGGGATGTAGAAGAGAAAATGTGCACTGACTCATGTGCCCCAGGTCTGGTTGCACATCCCATTGTGTGACATGGCCTGGTAACCTTGCCTTGTCCCACATGTGTCAGTTAAGGTCCTTGCTGTAACAGGAAAATGTACAAATACCATTTTTACATGATATATAGCCCACAGGTATTTCTTAACAAGGTTATGAATCCCACTCTGGTCTCAATGACTGACATCAATGGTTGGGAAGTATCCTCAGGCAATTTTTTTAACAATCTCATCTTTGAAAATGAAAGGCATTTGATTATTTATAGTTTCTCAGTTGTGGTTTAATATCTCTAATTATAAAAAGAAAAGAAAAAAAATTTCCACATTTGTTCAACTTTTTGAGATGTTATCACTTGCAGATTTAGTTTAAGATGAAGGATTCTGGTAGGAAGAACCTGACAGGTCCAAATCACTTAGTGCTGAGATCACCTGTTCATCTTTTATGACAAAACCAGAATATGTATCTCTAGTCGGACACTCATACATATATCCATGTTACTATTTGAAGTATTAAAATAAAATAGCAGACTTGAAAATATTCCAAAGTGGGAATGGAGTATATCTGGTAACTTATAGTATTATAATTGTTGAAGGATGAAAGGAAAAAAAATGCTCATTTTTAAGCCATAATGAAAATAAGACTTACTGAAACAAATTATTTTAAGGTATTCCTTTTCCTTTCATTTGCAGAAAAAAAAAATGGGGTATGGAAAGAAAGCCCATGCTTTAAAAGAATTATTCACTAAATACAAGCTTACATACATAAGCTTAGGTGATAACCCAAGTGGTTTATTTTCTTTTCTTGTTTCTTTCTGAAATTAGAGAAACGTATGTTTATTCCTCTTTTTTTTTTTTTTTCCCTTTTTTTCTTTGTCCTGTAAGTCAGTGAATTTTTCTGGCCATTTTCCTGCTAGGCATGTGGAAAGCTGTTTCCATGACAGCTTCGGCATTTCCGAGTAGCAATGTCCCTGCCATGAACCCTGCCAGGACTGATTCACACATCAGAAACCATACAAATTTTTTTGACACACGTACAACATCAAACATTGAGTGAAATGCAGATACCCTCTGAATTTTTTTTATCCGGTGATTTATCTGAATTTTTTATCCCAGTGTGCACTTCAGTCAGGTTGTCTCTTTCTTTCACTGCATTTGACAACTTATTGCTATGAAAAGTGCCCACCCAAGAAGGCTGTGGAAGGCTCCAAGCCTTGCTCTTACTCCTGGATGCTGATGTGGTTTGGCATTTTTTGCTGGTTTTATGATGATGTAGTGTGAATGAGACCTGAGACTGGAATGCCAATCTTTGAGGTTCCTCCTAGCCATAATGCTTCAGTTAGTCTCATACTCACAAACTTTCTAATTTTGTTTTGTTTTGTTTTTTGTTTAGTTCAACACCCAGTTGTAGAAGGTGAAGTGAATGGCCACAGCTCTCCTGTATCACATGCCTGTAGCCTCTGACACTCACCTGGGAGGACAAAGAGCTGGGATAGGGGATTGAGTCTCATATTCCAGGACACTAACACTCACCTATGTGGCAAATGGGGGGGGCATTGATCCTTTTTCTGACAACTGGCATTTTCTCAAGTGGCAGCTTTAAATCCTTACCTTCCACAGATGTTTAGTGCTTAAACAACACCCTTCTTCTTGGTATTCCTGTTGAATGGATTAGGTAGTTCCCTAATGACACAGTATAAACATTCACCATTGATAAAGTTCAGTAAATCCCATTCTTCTACATCTGTCCCTTATTATACATCCCAGAGAAGAGGCTCCACATCTGCCTCTGACCTGCAAGCTCAGCTAGGCAGCAGGGTACCTACAGTCACTGCTGAGATGCAAGGGATATGATATGAAATTGGTTTGCTAATATTGTGATGAAGGGTGAAGCTTACCTTTCCTCATGTGCTCTAAATTTCTAATTGCTTTAAAGTACATCATTCCTAGTGGTGCTCCCACTGTTTTTTCAGTGCCAGTGTTCTTGAGATTTTGTTCCATGTTAACAGCTCTCCATTATACTCCCCAACCCAAAGTTATTTAATACCAAATATTGTGAAACTGCAAAAATTATATTTAAATTATTATGATGCATGTCTTAGTTCCAACTAGTAAATACAATAAATTAAAAGGAAAAGCCCCATATTACCCGATCGTTAAATTAATTTTATTGTTCCCAAGCTATTTTGTCATAGCTTTTTAAAAATAAATCATTTTTATCTTGTATCATATTACTATTACATTGCAAAAAAAAATGAATGACATTATTCAGTATACCGAGTACTAGCAGGTAGCAAGAAACTGCTGGAAAGATAAAGAAGCTCTATTTTTATTCCAGTTTCCTTTGAATGATGCTCTTGTGGTGTCTTTGACTGCCAGGACAACTTTCATTGCTGTTATTGTTGTACTATAACAGAGCTACTCGAAAAACAATCCCTAAGCACAATATTCCATGTCCTAAGAGTTATGGGTTGAATTCATGAGGTGCCCAGAGCCTGTAGCTGGTTTGTCCCTCCAGCAAGCCACCTTCCCCCTGCCCTGTGCCACACTGCTTGCCAGGGTGAGCTACATGCAGAACATTCCAGCACCTTCCAGGCTGCCCAGTGGGGTTTTGTGCACCAGCTCTTCTCGGGCTGGCAGCGTGGCAGGGCAAGTTGCATTGCAGCACCACCACCGCCCCTCACACGCAGAAGGGAGCCAAGGGGTAGCAGCAGATGTTGCAGCTTGACAGGGAGGGATGGAACTGAGAGATGACCATAAAACTGTCTTCTCAGCAGGGGGAAAGCTGCACCTCCCCAGCCGTAACAAATCCCCTTGAAGTGACACTGACTCAGTAGAACAAATGCTGAGCAGTGCTTTCAGAGCTGCACATGTGCTAACATGGTTGTCTTTGCTTTTGGAGTTTACAGTGAAAATTACACAAAAGTGGATGTTTTCAGGGTGGATACTATGATACTGCTTCACTGATGATGAAGTTTTGCCTGGAACACCACTCAGTGGGTAAAGTCTCAGTGGAGATCTTAGTCTTCCTAAAGTCTAGTCTCCTTTTCTGGCCAGTAAGTTGTCTGAATTAAATGGTCACTATTGACAAAATTATCTTTCCTGCTCTTTGTCCCACAGGCGCCTCTCTCCCCGTTGGCTGAGAGGGTCTCATCTTGTGGAGAAGACCTTTTCCGGAGAACCCAAAGGACAGCAACACCGAAGAAAATGGACACGGTGCCCAACACCAAAGTGAGCCCCAGGTACACATGCCTGAGAGAGAAATGATTGATCAGAGCCTATTTCAAAGGCAGCACACGACTAGAAGGCATGAAGGACACATTCATATTTTCGGGAGGTGAGGCTGACTAAGAAAGCTCTTCAAGCAAGGTGATGACCCTGGAGATGAGAGTTTACCAGCTTAGCCGGGTTGGATACTCTGTGGCCTGTGCCCAAGAAAGCATCTCAGGCACTGACCGATCTCCTCTACCCCAATGTGCTTCAGTGTGAATGACACTAATATTTCCTGGGCAATTAATCTTTTTTTTTGGTTGCCTCTTAGACAGTACCAGTGATACGGTTTTGATGGTATTTTGGCTTTACAGGCATGACAGGAACAACAACAGTAGCAATAACATCATTATGCTTTATTAGTAATGAGTCCCAACTGAGCTTTTGTTCTTTTCTTCAAATTTCCAAAACAAGATGTACCCTCCCCTCATGTTTTTTCCTGTCGGTGCTGGGAGGAGCAATCTGTTCTCTCATTTTCCTTTTACCATTGTTATTTCATTCTCCATTTCTGGTAATATCTTTCATGAGTGTAGCTCAGATAATTACTCTCCTCCAGCAACAAACTGATGAAGACAACACTGTGCTTAAGCCTCTAGATAAGCCAAGTGTGCTTGGTGGCATCTTTCCCATCCTATATGTGGCCCATTTCCAACATGAAGCAATCATGAGCCCTTTTGCTTATTTACTTAGACACACACACTTGCAGCAGAGTTGTTTAAAAATGAGGGAAACTTTAGCATAAAATTGAGTGGTTTGTTTGGGTTTTTTTGGGGTTTTTGGTTTGTTTGTTGGTTTTGGGTTTTTTTTGTGAGAAATCAGGTGACTTAAATATTTCCAGCTCCTATTGAAATAATTTGACTCTCCTCCCCAAAAAAAGAAAGTAAACCAAAACAGAATGCTAAAATCTGAGCAATATTTTTGATATTGTTAGTCATACTCTTTCATTTTGCATCAAATCTTCGACTTAAATTTTCTGACAGAAATTCTACCAGTGCCGGGTATAAATGTACTTAAAGAACACAAGTTAAAGAGCAAATGGAGAAGAGCTGTTACCTGAGTGCACTGGAGTCGTAGAGTCTGCACGCTCCTCTTCCCCCACACCTTTTGCTTCCCCATTTCAGGCATGTGGTGTCTATGGCCACTCCAAAATACACCGGAGCTGGAATTCCCGCTGAAGGTATTTAACAAATAAATAGAAGCGAGAAGGTTACTTCCCAGGTGATCAGTTCTGATCTGGAGATGTGTTCATGTAGAACGTTAACTGATACATTTGAGCAGCAGTGACAGCTCCACACTGTTGTTTGGTTTGAGAAGTCCTGCCTCATGTTGCCCAGGCACACACCGCCCTTCCCTCCCTGTGGGAAATCAGGGTGGGGAGGAAACACAGCTGGACATCAAAAAGCCTGTGGAAGGAGCACTGGCCATGGCTTGGTTTCCTCACTCTGCAGGACATCTCTGGGAAAAAAAAAGGAGCTACTTCTCCTTTCTTGAGAGTGGTGGAGCCTGTTCAGCTTGGGGGTGGGGAATGTCCTGTGTGTTGTTGTGGGGGGCAATAAGAGAGAAAGACAGTAGAGCTGGGAGCCCATAGTGGGGCTACAAGCATCCTGCAAATATCCTGAGATCCTACTGTAGCAAGGCAAACAAATGGATGATGGAAAGGCAAAATCTGTGTTCAGTTGCTAATGGGGACACCGTGGACTCTCTGCAACCTGGGGAGTCAGCGATGCAGAAGTTGGTTGCTGGTTTGCTTGGTTGCTGCAGAAGAAAGTAAGCCTGGGAGGAAAATCCTGGCCTCCAAAGGTCTGATACAGCAGCCAACAGCCTGTGTTGATATAATCTCGCTCACCTAAGTCTGCTTTATTTAAATGACTGGCTTCTTGGTAATTATTACCTTTTCTATGAAGACCTAGAGGATTTGGGAATTTCCAGTTCATTGGCATTACACGGTACCCTTGATTTTAGAGAAAACTTACAGGTAATTTTACCAGAAGGCTGCAGTGAACCCTGCCCTCGTGCACACCTGTACTTATATTAATTCCCTTAGAAACTAATGAAAATATGCCTGAAAAATGATCACAAATTCCAAGCCACAGCTGTTCTATTATACTTTTTCTTGAATAAGGAGAGACAAGAAGTAATTTTGAAGTTAGCTTTGTAATCTGAAGGATCACTATGGACAATAGCTGGGTATATTTTTATTGTACCTAAAACACAGTCATGTGATTTATGAAAGGCAAAGCTGCTTTCTTTTTCCAATCCTTTTCTTAGTTCACTTTTTCAAAGTCAGTAAGTTATCAGTTAGGTATTGTTCTTTTCAACAATCAAAGTTTAATTATAGGATAAATGATTAGTGATGAGTATATTAAAACAAATACTAGCATACAACTGGACTTACCAAGGACTCTTATTGCCAGGGTATAGATACCAAGTGCAAATGATTTCAAGTGTGGTTTAATGCATCTAGAAGTAAATTTAAAATGGTGTTAAATAGAAATTTAGCATTGACTGTGGATAATTTAAACACAAAGTTTGAACACAAATAGAAAGCAAGAAGAAGGAAGGTAAAGTGACTTTTAAACAGAAGTGAGGGCATAGAAAGCAAAAAGGGGAAAACAAGACCAATAACTGGATATTTATTAAGTGTTCAAAAATATTTATATCCTGCACAGAAAAAGTCTTCTCTTTCAGATGGGAAAAAAGAAATAGTTTGAGCAGTTGCATTTTCTTTGCACAGAAACGCGAGTTCTTTGAGATCCTGATTGAAAGCCAGACTTCTCAGGGAGATCTGAGACTTCCTTTTCACTGCCTAATCACCTGCTATTAATAGTTTGTGCCTGAACAACAGCTATCTGAATTGTAAGGGTTTTTTTTCTCCAAAACGTCAGGGCTTTCCCAAGTTCCTTGGCAATTGTGATTAATCTAATATCACTAAAAAGACATTTCATCAAATGACTTGGTCACTAGCTATAAGCATATTTCAGTGATTTCAGTTGTGTAAAACCTTGAAGTAAATGTCACTAAATCTTACAGGCTTTTAGGAATTTAGCTGTATTTGTGTTCCATGGCAAGTGCAACAATATCTGCTCATCTAAGAACATCAGCTTGCTTAAGTGCTGGAATCTTATCAGAGCTGACTGAACTGTACAATTTTAAAAAGAGATAATTGGAAGAAATCCTTCATAAAATCTGCAACTTTGACTTTGGAACTATTTGTTTTCAAACAGCATATATTTTCTTTCTGGGAAAAGAAGCATACTTTCAATTCAGAGATTTTTCAGGGAAAGTCAGTCAGTGATGGATTTCAGAAAAGCAAGCGTGACCTTAAATTGGAATTGTGCCCACAGGTCATTTGCAGAGATTAAAAAAAAAAAAAAAAAAGGATTGAAGTTACTAAAACACATTTTATTTAGCTGTACATCAGATTTGGGTGCCTTCAATGCAACAGAAAAACACATAACCTCTCAGTTTCAATTAAATAGCTTTCAAAGTAAGACGATCATCAACAGAAAGAAAAGCTCTGGAGAAGAACCAATGAAATTGTTTTGCTGATTTCTCATAACAAAATGTTTCAGTATCATTATTGAAAATCTCTCTAAGCTTTTCTAAATAAATCCATTAAGTGTTAAGTCCCCTGAGAGCAAGTTCTTAGGGCTGAAAAGTGCAGGCAACCCTGTGTGAGTTAAGCTCGTACATATTCAGCTATGAATGTCTCCTCCCAAACAATTCTGTAGTGGAGACAAGATGGAGAGCAGGAGGTTAAGCATGGCCATGATGGTTTCCTGGCCCTGTCTAGTACCATATCTGTACATTTTCTACTATTTGCTTTATGGATAGAAAGGGGACATCATGTGGAGGGAAACGGGAAGAAAACTGCAGCCCTGCATAGCCCTATGCCCATATTTATTCAACAAAAAATAAAACAAAATCCCTATGTCAGAAGCAACCACAGAGGGAAATTTTGTCCTGAAGGCTTTTCCACAACCTCTCAACTCGTGAATGAAACTCCTCTTAGTGCATGGGCAATTTCAGTGGTGAATAAGCTTTGATAAAAATTGTCTAAAAGGATTGTAATATGATGGTTCTTTTTGGAGTGACTCCTTGGGGAGAGCAAAAGAGAGAGTGAGACACCACATGTGTTTGCAGTACCCAGTGGTAACCCTACAAAGGTGGGTGTGGAAAATATGCAACTTATATCTTTAAGGCCTACACCTCACTGGCAGAGTTTGTGGAGGGCAGTGGAGAAGGATCCTCACCTCAACCACTTCTGAAAGTCTGTGTGAATATTCAATCTGGTTCAAGGACTGAGCTGGAACCATAGCTGAAGTTACCTTTCTTTCTTTAGGTTTTTCCATGCAGCCTATATTCAATCAGTTCTAGCACTGGATTTTTTCATGTGGTATAAAGACACTGGCAATGAGACAAGGCCTGTTGCAGAAAATCTTATTCAAAAGCAAAGAGAACTTGGGGTAAGAAAACGCAGCAATAATAAAGATTAGTAAAACTGTATTTATCCTTGGGGTTTTATTTGAGAAGTAGAAAGTACCCATCTGGAAATAATTTGGAAACAGGAATTGAGACAGAAGCTTTTCCAAAACACAGCAGAGCATCACTGAGAATCCAAAAATTGCAAGAAGTTGACAAAAATCCAGATTAATCACTGGAAGTATTATATTCCTTTTGCACTTTCTAAAATTAGCTTAAGAGCTTACACTTGAGGATGGACAAATAGTTCCAACAGTTGGAACTATCCCTTGGGACAAGCATTTAATAAGCCCATGATTATAACAACAGAAAAAAAAAATCTCATGCCAAATCAATCTTTGTTTTGAAAAGAGAAATCTGGGAAAAAACAATTATATGGAATAATAAACTGGACTTGAGGAGAAGAGTTGAGTGTGTACAGAGAGTTTGAGTTAGATCATGTCTGTGCAGTTGTGCATCTGTGTCAATGGCAAGTGAGAAGAACTGGCATAGGTATGCACACACTGGCAAGTGCAGAGCTAGCTTCCATTGCAATAAGGCTTTCAGGGAAGTGGAATTTGGTATAAATTATAAGCAGGCTTCCTATATAATTTTTAAAATCAGAAAGGTATTGCTGGTAGGAGCAATCATAAGCACATCGTTGCTTTAATGGCAGAAAACACATTGTCAAATTATGAGGATGCCTTTTAATATTAAAAAATAATATTTTCAAACCTGTCTTGCATAGCTGAAAACATTTCACAATAATAGGGGGTGAGGGAGACCCAGTTACATGTGCCAAAACACCGTGAAAGCACTT